AGGCGCCGGCCACAACGCCCGGCTATTTTTTGGTTGCAGCCATCATTGTTGTTTGGCGGGTCCGGGCTGGGGACTCGAACCCGCCACCTTAGGTGTACGTGGCTGGCGCCTTAGCCGGTTGAGCTATAGGCGCCGAGCCGATATTAAATCTTTTATTGTAGAACTGAGGTACAGGCCATTTAAACCCTAAAGCAGGTTTCTTACCTTGAGAGGCATCACATTGCTGTGGTCAATGGCATGGACTCTAGAGTCAAATTGCCTGGGTTTAAATCCTACCCCTGCCACTTGGTAGCTGTCTGATGTTGTGCAAGTGCCTCATTTTTCTTATTCTTATATGAGGGTGATGATGATAATTGTAAATCTATTTCATAGGTGCCTGTAGATTTCATGAATAAAAATATAAAGTGCTTGAAACGATCTGGCATGTCATAAACATATTTGTGTTTTGATTTTTTTTGTTTTGATGATGACATAGTAAGAAAAGTGGAAGAATTAGTAGGATAGATTGATTCTTTTGTAAAACCTAAAAGTACTGATCCTCTCTCCTTTTTTTCCCCCCTTTAGGTGTGAAGTGTTTCTCTTATACTACAAGTTTGATCAGCTTTGTATTGGTACCATACATTTTTACACAAGATATTAATGGACTTGTAAGTCTGCCTGCGAAAATCTTTTTTTATGGCATCATAGGGAGTTTTGCATTTATCACTCCAGTGCTGCTTCACTTTATTACAAAAAGCTATGTCATTCGCTTGTACCATGAGGCCACAACAGACACTTACAAAGCCATTACTTACAATTTTGTGCTTAGAGAAACAAGTACAGTGTTCCATCAGAATGATGTGATTGTTCCAGACAAGACATATCTGTTTACCACATTTTGTGCTAAAACAAAATCACTGTTAGTTAATCCATTGCACTTTCCAGAGCTTGAAGACTATTTGCATCTAATGGGTTATGACAGAACGTTCAGTTTTGATGCAAAAGAAATTGCTGAAGAGTTCAAGAAGGAGGAATGAGCATATTGTTTTTTAGTTTGTGATTATATGTGATTTATGTCTCAATGTATAATAATTGTCTTTACTTTTGTATTCTCTTAATGACTGATGAAGATAACTTGAAATTGTCAAACAGAGCTTTTAATTAATGTTCAGAGAATGATAACTCTTTTATAATAAACTATGTTTGAAAACATACTATGTACCATTTGTGCTAGAAAAGGTATGTGTGACTATACATGTTCATCATGGTATATGCATGGATTATTTAAGAGCTATATGTAAGTGTGGTTGCCTCTGAACTGGGGATCTGCTAGAATTAAATGGGAGAGTTACTTTTTTTCTTTCTGTTTGGATTTTTCTTTGTGTATGAATATTCTTGTCCTACATTAAAAAACTTTGAAAAATAAACGGTATGGGAAGCAGTGTTAATCTGTCTCCTTAGTGAGAATGTTCACATACAGTTGAGTTTGTGAGCTACAAAGGAAATGATAACCTAGGTAGTGTCTTCTGTGTTCTTACTTGGCACCCTATCAAAGTAGGAAAATCACTGGTACTAAAGCTGTGGACGGTACTTTGTATGAGATGGCAATATCTATGCTAGCTTTTGCTCCCAAAAGTAACAATATGGCCCTTAGACATGAATGATGGTTTTATATTTTGGAGGGGACAGAGGCTCACTATGTCACTCTTGGTAGAGTGTTATGGCATCACAGCTCACAGCAACCTCAAACTCTTGGACTTAAGTGAAGTGTCTTGCCTCAGCCTCCCAAGTAGTTGGGACTACAGGTGTCCGGCCACATTTTTCTTTTGTTGTTGTAGTTGTCATTTAGCTTGCCCGGGCGGATTTGAACCTACCAGCCTGGTTGTATATGGCTGGTGCCCTACCCGCTGAGCTACAGGCCCCGCCCACTTAGTCATATTTTTAAAGCTGCGTTCTGAGAGCCGGGTGCAGTGGCTCAATGCCTGTAATCCCAGCACTTGGGAGGCTAAGGCAGGTGGTTTGCTTGAACTCAAAAATTCCAGACCAACCTGAGCCTGAGTGAGACCTTGTCTCTAAAAATAGCCGGGTGTTGTGGCGGGTGTCTGTAGTCCCAGCTACTTGGGAGGCTGAGACAACAGAATAACTTAAGCTCAGGAGTTTGAGATTGCTGTGAGCTATCATGCCACAGTGCTCTACTCAGGATGACAAAATGAAACTGTTTCAAAATGGAATTGCATTCTGAATTTTTCTTGTTTTTCAAATGATTAGGTCTTGGGCTGGGTAAGGTGGCTCATGCCTACAATCCTAGCACTCTGGGAGGTCAGGGTGGGTGGATTACCTGATCTCAGAAGTTCAAGACCAACCTGAGCCAGAATGAGACCCTGTCTCTGAAAGAATAGCTGGGCATTGTGACAGTTGGCTATAGTCCCAGCTATTTGGGAGGTCAAGGCAAGAGAATCTGCATCAGCCCAAAAGTTTGAGGTTGCCATGAGCTATGACACCACAGCACTATAATGAGGGAAACAAAACAAGCCTCTGTCAAAAAAAAAAAAAAAAAAAGATTAGGTCTTAGTGTGTCTCCTAGGCTGGGTTACAGTTGAATAATCATAGCTCATTGCTGCCTTGAACTCCTGGGGTCCTCAGCCTCTTAACTGGTTAGCACTGACTACATGCTTATGCCACCACTCCCAGCTAATTAAAAAAAAAAAATTGTTGAGAAAATCTTGCTGTGTTTTCCAGGCTGGTCTGGACAGAAGGAATTCTGCCTCAGCCTCCCAAAGTGCTGAGAATGTAGGTGTGAGCCACCATTCTTGGTATCTGATTCTTTTAGAACACTTCTGTTGGTGCTTTTCTATTGAGAATTTCAACCAAGAAAAGTACAATAAATCTGCATGACTCTCATTTGGATTCAACAGTTGCCAGTTTGTACTCAATATTTTTTCATCTGCCCTATTTATTCTGTACTTTTTAAATATTTAATTTTGTAGCTCTAGAACAGGTGAACCTTTAATACAGTCCAAAGGGGTCACAACCCACAGGTTGGGGACCGCTGCTCTAGAAGATAAGGACTTCCTTAAAAATATAAAAATACCATTATCATAACTACAAAAAGCAAAATAATAACCAACCCTAATATCAAATGTTCAATCTGAAATATCTTTTAAAATTCTTCTACGAGTTTCTCCATTTCTTTCACTTTTCCCCCCTACAAATTTCCCCCATCCTGGTCTGGATTTTCTTTTTCTTTTTTTGGCTGGGGCCAGGTTTGAACCCGCCACCTCTAGTATACCGGGCTGGCGCCACGCCTGATCTGGATTTTCTTAATGTACCCCTGAGCTGCATTTTAACATGCTTCTTTATTTCCTATAAATGGATAAGTAGATCTTCAAGCTTCATCAGAGTGAAGTATAATTATTTAGGACAAAATGACTTCATAGATGTTTGTACTGTTTATTTGCCTCATAACAAATGGCTCTAAAACTCAGAGGCATGAAGCAACAATAAACATGTTGCACAGTATAGATATAGAATTACTGAGTGGCACATCCTGAGTCCTTTGACACAGGTTCTCTCGGTGACAACAGTCAAATCATCTGGTGTAGCTGTGATCTGAAGGCTGAACTAGGGTAGGAGCCCTGGTGACCTGTAGTGATCAATGCTTTATTGGTTACACAGTGAGCCTTACTGAGAATTGGAGGGGATTTGCAAGGGCATGCACACTAGGAAATAAGGCTCATTGGGTGCTATAGTGGGACCGGTTGCCATGCTGCTCTTCCGTAAAAGGGTACATAACATTTTTTTTTTTTTGAGACAGTCTTACTTTGTTGCCTTCAGTAGAGTGCTGTAATGTCATAGCTCACAGCAACCTGAAAGTGATTCTCTTGCCTCAGCCTTCCAAGTAGCTGGGACTACAGGCACCTGCCACAACACCTGGCTATTTTTAGAGATGAGGTTTCGCTTTGTCACAGGCTGGTCTCAACTCGTGAGCTCAGGTAATCCACCCACCTTAGTCTCCCAGAGTGCTAGGATTACAGGCATGAGCCACCGCACCTGGCCTATAACATCTTTTTGTCTCATGTTAGCAATCATTGATACTCAGTGCCTAAATCCATTAATTATGAATTAATGTTGCAAGACGGTTATATTCTATTATTCCTTTTTCTTTTGTTAGTTGAAATACTCCTAAAAATAGAGATAAAATTATTAGAAGATGGCTTGGCGCCTGTAGCACAGTGGTTACGTACAGTGCTGGCCACATATACCCAGGCTGGCAGGGTTGAACCCAGCCAAACAACTATGACAACTACAACTAAAAAAATAGCCGGGCTTTGTGGCGGGCTCCTGTAGTCCCAGATACTTGGGAGGCTGAGGGAAGAAACTCGCTTAAGCTCAAGAGTTTGAGGTTAACTGTGATGCCACAGAACTCTACCAAGGGTGATGTAGTGAAACTCTGTCTCAAAAAAAAAAAAAAAAAAGTAAAAGAAGGCAAGAGAAACTTACCCCTCTTTAGTATTTAGTAACTCAGTAATTGAGTTTGTACAGAAGAGGCAGGTTAAATGCTTGATCCTTTCCCTTTATTTGCCAGTTTATATAATAGAATTGATTTTGTACCATCATTTGATAAGTAAACTTAAAAAGTATGTACTCATGGATATATTTGACATATTTCAATGTATTGCAGTTATTATACTATTAATGTTCATATGGATATATAGGTAGGCTAAATAATGTCGCAAGGTGTTCATCTAATCACTGAAAGCTGTGAATGTACTTTACATGGCAAAAGAGATTTTGCAGATGTGATGAGATTAAGGGTTTTTTTTTTTTTTT